ATAAAGCATAAATAGGGGCTGGGGAGATGGCTCAGTAGAATAAGTTCTTGCCTGGCAAGTGCAAGGGCCTGAGTTCAATACCTGGTTCCACCAAAAAAAAAAAGCATAAGTGACTGTGCTAAATAAAACAGTATCTTCGTGTCTGCTACCAACTGCAGATTAGAGGAGCTAGCTGCACAAGAACAATAGTCAATAAGAACCAGACTTGATGGCACACACCTATAATCCTAGCACTCAGGAGCCTGAGGAAGGAGGACTAACGTGAGTGTGAGGCCAGCCTTGGTTACAGCGAGTTCAAAGGTTAGGCGAGACTACATAGTAAGACTTGTTTAAAAAACAGCAACAACCAAAAAAAAAAAAAAAAAGCCAAGCACAGTTGTGCAAAAAAGGTGGAGGCAAGATTGGCAAGAACTTGAAGCCAATCTGAGCTATGTAGGAAGTTCAAAGCCAGCTTGATGAACCACACAGTTAGACCCTATCTCAAAACAAAACAACTAAATGTTGGGAATGGTGGGTATGCCTGTGCTCTCAGGAGGCTGAGACCAGAAGATTGCCTCAACTAAGAGACCAGTCTGAATTAGAGTGAGAGCCTACCTCAAAGACCACTCCCTCCAAAAAACAAGGTAATAAGAAAGACAACTTCAAACCCAGACACAACTCTTTGGGATCAAGGGAAAAGTGGGATAAAAAATATTTCAGTCCTCTGGAATGACTACTATATTTCTGGTCTCTTAAATTGTTTTCAAAAACAATGTGAAAATTCATCTTTTCCTTAAAATTTTGCTTTGTTTTGTTTTCATGGTGGTACTGGGATTTGAACCCAATGTCTTGCAATGACTATGTCTCCAGACTAACCCCCCTCAACTTTTTTTTTTTACTTTTTGCAACAGAGTTTCAGGGTTTTGCCATGTAGTTCAGGCTGTCCTCAAACTAGCCCAGGCTGGTCTTAAAACCATGAACAATCCTCCTGCCTCAGTCTCCCGAGTGTTCCAACACTTTTTTATTTTGAGGCAGGGTCTACTTGAAGTGCCAAGGCTGGCCTCCAACTCTCCATCCTCCACCTAGCTAAATTATCTCATTTTAATCCTTACAAAAACCTATGGGGTTGGCTGGTGAGGTGGCTCAGTGGTCTAAAGCACCTACTTAGAACAAGCTTAGCAAAGCACAGGGACCACAGTTCAATCCCCCAGCACCACATGCCAGCCAGCCCCGCCCCCTGGTGGGCTGAGCTGGCCACACACACACACACACACACACACACAAATAAAATTTTTTTAAAAAGAGCAAATCATTAAGATTGAAAAAAAAAAAAACCTATGGGGTGGGTTCAAAAAGACAAATGAACCTTAAGGAGGCTAAATAATCTGCCTAAATTGCCAAACAATCAGAACTTCCACCTACTGCAGAACCTAAGCTCTTAACCATAAATGAAACCATCTTTTAACTGTTAGTATCTATTAATTTTTGGCTTTCAACTATGTTAGATTTTAACCTAACTGAAGAAAAATGTCATTTTGACTTGTTTTTTCTTTATCCTCACATAGTTAATGTTCTGAGACTATAACAAGGTTTATGGGAGGTACATCTCACGCATATGGCATAAACACCCAATCATCATGTTCCTAACTTGTTCATAATCTCTTTTTAATGGCTAGATTAAAATGTATCAAGATCCTAAGCAGTGGTGTGCAATTTAAGCATTTCTTGTATGGCTACAGTTTCTATAAATCATGGCTTTCCTAACCAGTATCTTCAGGGATTGAGCTTCTACAGCATTAGAGATGAATTTATTTGACACATCCATACTCTCGCCTGGTTCCCCATGCCTTCCAGAGTCTACATTTAGTTTTTAGACATACTGTGCTGCTGAGGAGGCAGCGCTAACTACAACAGAACTTCTACTCTTCTAATCCAGTTAGGCATCATCTTCCAAGTAACGGCTCTGAGAAGAAGTGATGAGTGTGCAGTTTTTACCAAATTAACAATGTCAGTTTCTAGTTTAGTGTGTAAATAAAGAATGTCATTAACAAAGTTAAGAGTCAAGAGAATGAGAAGATATGTGCAATATATACAACCAAAAAACTGTCATCTGGGCTGGGGAGATGGCTCAGTAGAATAAGCACTTCCCTGGCAAGTAACAAGGTTCTAAATTCAAACCCCGGTTCCGCAAAAAAACAAAAACAAACAAAAAAACCTGTCATCCAAATGTTATGACTACTATAAAACAATAAAAAGCAACACAATTGTTAAGGATTGCCAAAACACCCGAATAGGCACTTCACGAAGAACATGCAAAAGGCCAATACATGTATGGAAAGGAGCTCAATATCATTAGACATAGACACTAAGAAAATGAGAATTAAAACAACTTAAGAAACACTACTGCATACCTCTCAGAACAGTAGAAGCTAAGAAAACCAACAATGACAAGTGTTAGTGTCTATGTTATATGAACAAAATATTCATTGTTGATGTGGATGAAAGTTGGTATGGGTTAAGTATACCTAATCTGAAATGCTTAGGATTAAAAATGGGTTTTCTGGATTCTGCAATTTTCTGTACGTGCAATGACACCTATTAGAGACCCAAGTTTAAACCCAAAATTATGCTTTATGTATACTTTATGCACATAGCCTGAGGTATTCATGTGCATTACCAGTGTTCCTGCCTTTCTGTCCCCATATGTGGCATCCAGTTGACACTCAAAACTTTTAAGTTTTAAAGAATTTCAGATTTTCAGATTAGGGAGGCTCAATCTGCATACACAATCTAGAAAACTGCTTGGCAATATCTATTACAGAACGCCAAACACAGAAATGCAAGCATAATCAATGATGACAGAGGTCAGGACAGTAACTTTGAGGGAGGCAATAACTGGGAAGGCACAGGATTTCTGCACACATCTTTGGATGGTTTCACAAGTGTGTAAAATACACTCTACATTTAATAAGCTACATTTATTATTATACTTTCTTGTATATAACTTATATTTCAATTTTAAAGCTCACCAAAAGGGCCAGGAATATAGCTCAGCAGCATAAGCACCTACTTAGCAAGCACAAGATCCTGAGTTTGAACCCCAGCCCTGGAAATAAATAGATAAATAATAAAAAAATAAATAAAATTGCTCACTATGATAGCCTGCACACTGATAATACCAGCTACTCAAGACTCTGAGGTGGGAGGACCAGCCTAGGCAACATAGTAAGATCCTATCTCAAAAATTATAAAAGGGCCAGGTACGCAGGAAATGTTGGGCTCAATTCCTAGTACCACCAAGAAAACAAACAAAAAAAAGTTTATTATAGAAAAGTTACAAAATAGAGGACCAGGGAGATAGCTCAGCCAACTAAGCACCTGCTTAGGTAAGCTCAGGGACCAGGGCACTACAATGCCATGCTGGCTGCACACCTGGGCATACTGAGCCACCACTGAGACCGGTGGCACAGGCCTATAATCCCAGCACTGGAGGCTGAAAACAAGAAGATCACTACGAGTTCAAGCTATAGTGAAACCCTGTACCAAATACATTTTAAAAAAAGAAAAATTAAAAGATATAGATACCCAATAGTAGCTAAATATTATCCCAGTATATCAAAAAAGCCAAGGTAGTCATGCTTTTAAATGATGAAACAGAAAATGTTCAAAATAGTTTTCAACAGAATTAAATTTACTGTGTTATCCAGTTTTTCCAAAACATATCTGAGAAAAGCAACTGGAAAAAAGTAAGTACCAGTTTTACATTTAAGTATTAGGATTAAGGAAATACTCATTAATTCATATCTCTAAGTATATGTTGTTCTATATTAAAGGAAAAACTATTTTTAAAACATTAACAACTTGACCAGGTGTGGAGGTGCAGGCAGGAGGAATGCTGAAGAGTTCAAGGCTAGCCCAGAGCTACATAGTAAGTTCAAAGACATCCTAAACTATGTAATAAGACCTAGTCTCAAAAAGCCAAACAATGGGGCCAGGGAGATAGCTCAGTGGAATAAGCGCTTCCACGGCAAGCATAAGGGCCTGAGTTCAATCCCCGGTTCTGCCAAAAAAAAAAAAAAAAAAAAAGCGCCAAACAAGCAAACAAACAAACAAAAAAATTAACAATTTGGAGGCACAGTGGTGCACATTTGAGTCATTCTGGGATATACATTAAGACCCTTTCTCAAATAAATACGTATATGAATACATACACACAGACTTGGCACAAGACACTGACAGAATATCTTAACCTTAATTTATCCATGGTAATCTTGCTTAGTGGAGGATGTGTAGCACTGCAACCACTGCACTAGAAGCAACAACACAAGAAACAACTAGAAACTTGTTTTGGTGTTTCATTTTCTTTGTACGATCCAAGTCAGAAACAGTGTCATCATAGGTTTGATTAAGGCTGTGTAATTGTTCCAGCTCTTGTTCAGTTTTGCTGATGAACAACACCCGGAAGACATGCTAAACCCAGACAGGACCTAACAAGTGAGTGTATCAAACACTGGCCCTGCTGTTGCCAAGGTTTCTAGGTGCGGCTGCAGCTCGAATATAATAAGATCATTCACATCTGAGTCAGTCACCCACTCCTGTTCTCATCCCTCTTTGTACATCAGACATGGGCATGAACATCAAATTCTATACATAGCACAAATCTGAGTAAAACTGAGTAGATTTTAGGAGAGAATAATAAGTCTTTTCCATTTAGGAAGAAAAAGAAAGATAAGGAAAACTATTACCAAAATATATTATCGATCTTTTTAAAAAATTTATTAATTCCAAGAAAAATGCTTTTATCATTTTATTTATCAGATTTTCTAGTTTGCCCTTTTACTGTATATATATGTTCAACCTGTGCATTCCTTTCTTCTGAAGACTACAGATTAAAGGAGGAGTTAGGTTCCAGAAAATACAACATTTAGAAAGGTGTCAGACACCATTAATTAAGACATATTGTCCAGGTTTATAGATATGTAGAAGCATAAAATTTAAGAGAATATGAAATGCTATAACACCAGCCGTGGTGGTGCATGCCTGTAATCCCACCACTCAGAAGGCTGAGACAAAAGACCCCATCTCAAAAGAAAAAGAGAAAGACAGGCAGGCAGCAGTAAACTACTCTGTAGAATTAAACATTTTCTATTGTTTCTCGTGTGTGTGTGTGTGTGTGTGTGTCTGTCTGTCTCTCTCTCTCTCTCTCTCTCTCTCTCTCTCTCTCTCTCTCTTTCTCCTCCCTTCCTCCCTGTTCTTCAAACAAACTGCTTGTAAGTCTAAGCTACTCTCATGAAACTTTCTGCATGCACTCTAACTCTGAAACTTTACTTTCCCAAACTAGGCTGTCATCATGACCCAAGTGTTCTCCCTTTTGCACAGTGCACGTTGTTGCAAAGGGATGGTGCCAGTGAAGAGGACACCTGGGATACCTCCAAAACTTGAGGCCTTAGGTTCTTTCACAAGCCCAACAGAGGAAAACTGCTTACAGTTTCTCATGTTCAAGCAAGTTCCTTTATCCCAGTTTAATTACCATGGTAATCAGAAAATTTCCAGCCAACTCCCATAACACTGTGCTTATGCTTCAAGAAACACTCATGCTGTCTGCCTTAGGACAGGAACTCCAGAGACCTCTGTGCTACATTACATTTATCAGAAGGTGTGATTAAAAGAAGGCTACCTGGGCACAGTGGCACCTATCTGTAACCCCAGAATTCGGGAGGCTGAGGCAGGAGGATTGCTGCAAATGCAAGGCCAATCTGAGTTACATAGTGTGTTCAAAGCTAGCCTGAACTACACAGAAGGTCTTGTCTCAAAAATTAATTAATTTAAAAGGCTGAACTAAATTGTTCCCCCAAAGTTTAGAGGTATGTAAAAAGGGATTTTTCTACATACTGAAGGCTGTTTATTATTCCTATTTTCAATTAAAATTCAGTACAATTTTCCTGAGCTCTATGATCAGTTCTGCTTTGAGTGCTACTGTTTGATCATCTTTTATTCAAAGAAATATAGGAAAACTGTTACTCCTAGTAGCCCATATAACTTAAGGATATAAGTTTTTAAAAATCATCAAATGTAAAGCATGCTTCATTTTTAAAAACTTTACAACTTGTAAGTCCAACTGACCTTCAATAAATCTCTTAAATCTTTTCATTATTTAAAAATGTTGGGGCTGGGGGGATAGCTCAGCGGCTTACGCACCTGCTGGTAAGTGCATAGTCCTGAGTTTGATCCCTGGTACTGCAAAAAAAAAAATAAAGTTGTCTTTGACAGCAAGAAGATTTTTGTTACTGGTCTTCCCACTGAACCACATCCCAGAAATAATTTTTTTCTTTCACTTTATTTTATTTTGAAGAGCAAAATCAAAAGCAGTAACAAATAGCAGAAATAAATACAAAAACAGGGTAACATACAATGATATAGCTTTTCAAAACAAGAATATAAAAATTAGCAATGGTTGACCCATTACCTATTTTTATCCTCAAATCTGTTGCTCAAATTTACAAATATAGTCATGCAAGATTAGACATTATTTGAATACTAACACTTGGTTTGTTTTTTCTTTTCTTTTCTTTTCTTTTTTTTTTTTTTTTTTTTTTTTTTTTTTTGGTGCAGTACCAGGGATTGAACTCAGGGCCTTGAACTTGCCAGGCAAGCGCTTA